GTCTAAGAAGAAAACTAAGGGTCTAGACAAACCAAATGGACACAGGCAGTCCTCTTTCTGAGAATTTCTAAGATGAGAAGAAGATTCCATTTTTTATCATCTCCCTTGTGAAAAGAAAACAAAGGAGAGGTAGATGGACCATTAAGAGAATATATAAAGCATAGATTTTAAAGTATATTAAAAATAAAAACTAGAGAAAAGAGTGTTCAACATATTCTCCTGGGAGCTACCACTTGAACAGTGTCTTTGGCTTTCTTACACTACTTGATTTATTTTATCAGTCCTATTATGGACGACTTAGCAATAAGAATAAACAAACTGTTCAATATCTTTGCTCGTTCGATAGCCGTCCTTAAATGTAGTTGCACAGTGTCAGATTCCTATGCGGAAACTATTCTAATAGAAAATCGAATATGATCAACCATTCATTACACACAGGAGGTAAATGCTAGAGAGTATAATAGACTATAAAAAGCACAAAGTGTAACCCCCATTCCTTCCTGACTTTTATACGTTTGTTGTATAACAGCAAACAAGCCAGTCAGTTTCCATTTCTGTAAAATGGACACAAGTGCGACTCTATGTCTATCCTGTGATAGAGGAGGAATAGAAGAGTGAGGTTATAACCCTAAGTAAGAACAAAGCAAAAACATCCTTCCTACCAACCTGGTATGAGGATGTCAGAGGTGCCTTGGGAGTAGTTTTCCTAAAGACACTGAGTGAGCCACTGGAAGAGTTTTACCTAAGCCCATAGGATGCCAGTTCTGAGTGACCAGTCAGCTATGTTGCTGTTACGCAGCATCGAGTCAATTCCAACTCATAGCAACCCTCTGTACAACAGAAGTCAACACTGCCCAGCCTTGCCCCATCCTCACGATTGTTTGAACCCATTGTACAACCCTGTCGATCCATCTTACCAAGCGTCTTCCTCTCTTCTGCTACCTTCCTCCTTCACCAGACTAGGGACTAGTCTCTCCTATCAACCCGCCCTGAAGTCTGTGAGACGAAGTCTCACAAGCCATTCCATTCTGTCAGCACGTCTTCCGAGAGATAGCCATTATTCATTAGCGCAGAGATGCGACGCAGCTTTTGAAGGACTTGTCCCACTAATTGACACTAGTAGACTGCAGGTCCCTTCACCTTTGGAATGCTAGCCTGTAAAATGGGGAAGGACGACTGCTCAAGGAGCTCTATGAAACGCTATGGCTAACGCGTTTACAGCGGCGCTGGTACCCAGGAAATAGTCAGCATACGTGAGCTAAGAGAGCTATTGCCTGTTTTTCAAAACGTTGGACTAATTATCAGAAATTAACAACTAAAGATACTGGACAAGGGTTATGTTCAGTGTAGCAAATTGCCCCTGCTCCGTATATATCATCATCGTAGCTGCTAAGTGAGCTTGCCTCCCGTGATGGACCCTGACCCTAAACCAGGCAGCCCCCTCCACTGACCAGTGGCCCAAGGAGAAAATACACCGCATCTTGTGCTCACTCTTTGAGGCCACTCCCCAAACCAAACTCCCTGCCATCGATCTGGTGCCGACTCAAAGCCAAAACTCACACACACATTGGATGACCCACTGTCACAGGGTTGATAATCTGACTCACAGTGACTCCGCAGGACAGTGTGGAGCTGTCCCATTCTGTTTCCCACACTTGCTCTTCACGGAAACAGACTGCCACATCTTTCTCCCACAGAGCAGCTGGTGGGTCCCCACTGCCAGCCTTTCGGTTACCAGGTCACCAGGATGCCTAACACCTTCTCTAGTTTGTATCGTCCTAGTAAGTTCTGCCCGTTCTTATCAGGGGTGTTTGTGTGCAGAGGACGGGGGAACAATTGACTAGACAGATGTAGACACTGGCAATGAGTTCTCCCTTCACACTTGAATCTGATCCCAGTGGCAAGTTTCAACCAATCACCCAACAGGTGTTCCATTAACAGGAAAAGCATCAGCCTGTGCTCCCTGGGATGGTGTGATGGCTGGATTCTCCCACAGTTCTCACAAGACAAGAAAGAGGAACCCCAAATCCTCAGACCAGACCAGCTGTGTCTCTGAGCTTGTTTCCTTCTGTTAGATTTCAGACATAGAAATTCTCAAATTAAAGCGCCTTGGTTTGCTTAAGGATATCCAGGAAGGTCTGGTGCCCTAAATACTGGCTTTCCTCACTCGATTAGGAAGAAGTATGCAAATATAGGCTTGCCTGTGTATACGTGTGTATGAAGGACCCCTTGGAGCACAATGGGTAAGTGCTCAGCTGCTAACCACAAGGTGGGCCGTTCCAACTCACACAGCGTTCTGCATGGGAGAAAGGCGCGGCCATCATCCGCCGTGAAGGTTGCAGCCTACCCATCATCTCTTCCCACAGAGGCCGTCATTTAGATTCGTGCATATTCCATCAGGTGAAGGCCATGTGTATAATCATCACTTATGTTGTTGAAAAATGATATCTGCAATAAAAAGGGGGGTAACAAATACCACACTCAGCAAAAGTGTCCCTGAAATACAACGGTGGAAGTAGGGCATTTGCAGATAAATAGACATTAAAGCCATTTGTCAAAATCAGGCCAACTTCACAAGAAATACTTCATGGAATTCTTCAGGCAGAACACCCACAATGGCAGGCAACAAGCTGAAATGCACCTACATGACAACACCACTCCGAAGTCAACACAGATAGAGTAGCGACCAAAGTAAGACAAACTTTTCAGATTGAACATAGGGACCCAGAGATGTGAATTTGTATTGAGAACAACTACAGAGTAAAAAGAGGGAATGATGTACTTGTAGAACTTCCAAATGGAGAGAGAGTCATGTAGATTTAGCTTGGCTGAAGGGGAAGGCAACATGTGATAAAAGGGAAGTTGAGAAAAAACGATGGCGGTAGAGGAAGGCACTGGAAGGATACTAGAGTTAAAGCAACAGAGGTGAGCATCGCTATCTGCACAACCCTGCAGTGATGGCGATCTATGAGTGGAGGGACCCCTGGCGGTGTAATGCGAGGTCAGCAGTTTAAAACCACCAGCCATTCCTTGGGAGATAGGCAGGGCTTTCCAGTCACGTGAAGAATGATAGTTTCAGAAACTCACAAGGGCAGTTCTACCTGTCCCATATTTGATGGCAGTGAGTTGGGCATTTTGGTTTTCTGAGTAGATATGTATATAAACACACCAGCTGATTGAATGTGAGAGGAAGAGTAGAATATGCAATATACCCACCATAAACATGTTTGACAGAAACATTTGCTGCAAGTGTATGCCTGAGTGTGGTGGCACATGGAGAGAGAGGCTATGAGAACTTCTTAGAATCAACATTTCGAGGGAATTCCTTGACGGGTCTGGAATACGTTGATAGTTCAGGACCTGGTCTCAAGGACCGCGAGATCAGAGTAACCTCGCCTACAAAGATAATGTTCTAAATCCTACTTTGATAAGTAGCAATTGGGGTCCTCAGCACTCTTGAGCAGCCATCCAAGGTGCAATGAGTGGTCTCTCCTTGTCTAGAGGAAAGAGAAGTGATGAAAATCCAAGAGAGCTTAAAATAACTAAACCAATGGACTAATGGCCCACACAAACCTGTCTTTATGACCCTGGACCTGAAGAACTAGGTGGTATCCAACTACCACCACTCACTGCTTTGAAAGGGATCGCATTAGAAGGTCCTAGATAGAGTGGGGAGAAATGTAGAACCGAATTCAAAATCATCGAACGGTCCAGACTTACTGGTCAGATGGAGACTGGCGGGACCCCTACAACTATGGCCCTTGGTTACCCTTCAGACCTGGAATTGAAATCACCTCTATGGATAAGTATTCAGCCAAACAAGGCACAGATTTATAAGGGGAGCACTGGTGACAGACACACGCCCTAGAATAACCAAGCATTTGAGATCAAATTCTGGTTGAGATCAATCAGGATTCACCCAAGGACAAAGTTCAAAAGGGTTAGGCAGGAAGGGAGATGAGTGATTTTGTAATGAAAGGATTACAATGAATGAGATGAAACAATGTGTAGGAATTGTTGCATGTGGAACTGATGATTTGCTCTGTCAATCATCGTCCAAGACACAATGAAAAGTTTGGGGTTTTTTTTAGGTCAAATATGATATAAATTCAGCCTAGAAAACCCAACAGGGTAGTTCTACTCTATCACGTGGGGCTTTATGAGTAGAAATGTAGTCTAAAGCATACAACAAGCACTGTGAATTTAAATACAGGCCTCCCCATATATGCCAGTGTATATAATGAACAGTATCCTAGAATAACTAATTCTAGCTGTTACGGAAATATTGATATATCATCAGTCGCCTGTAGGAGTCCAGGGTCACCGAGTCAGAATTGGCTCAAAGGCAATGGTGTCTGGTATGAAATGCTGTGAGGTGGATACTGGTTTTGACCCAAAGATCATAGAAATCCAAAGTTTGTTTGCCAATTTCACCCACTTGCCACAATCCCCCCGCCCCCACCAACACACACACACACACACACACACACACACACACCAGTTTCCTAAGTGTGCTAGGCTGTGTTTACAACACCATGTAACAAAGAATACTATAATGTGGTTAAGAAAACCCCTCTCATGGGGGAGGCAGGCCATGGTTGGCAAAACTACGGTAGAACGGATATAGGATTGGCTTCAAATTATGGAATATTGTGGTACGGCAATAATGATTCCATTTCCTTAAAAAACATTTGAGAGGGCATCATCAAGGGGCCTGGGAAAATCCGGTTATATTTTCATGCTACTTTTCCACGTCCTTTTTGAAGCCCCCTCATATGTTCATCACAAAGTCACGGTGGATTAAGATGTACTTCTGCTTCCACCTGCAGTGAACGCAATGAAGCACACACTATCTTCCGAAGTGTTCTCTTCCCTGCTCCCTTCAAGACACTCAGGCAGATGCACAAATCAATCACTTTTCTTTAGACATCACCAGAAAGCAGACAGCTGCTTAACCACAGAATGTTTGAGTCATCAACAGATTCTCTCCTCGTCCACAGCCATCCACACCGTGGCACATGCGTTCAACCTGGAGCGGTACCACCTGAGTCAGTCCCCCCGTGCAGAGGGGCTTCCAGCCGCACTGTCCAAACTGGGCAGCACTCCTAATGAGAGCTTCCTCAACCCCATCCGGACCTTCAACGCGGTGAGTCCTCCACGCCCACCCACTAGATTTCCCCATTTGAACCCCCTTCCGTGTCAGACCCCTTCGTGAGCAACATCAGGAGATCGGATGGCTAGTGGGTTAGGCGGTGTGCAGGTCAACAGATCCAAACCACCAGCGCTCCGTAGGAGAAAGATGAGGCTTTCTACTCCCGTAAAGAATTACACATTCAGAAACCGACAGGTCAGTTCTAACTGTCCTACAGGGTCACTATTGGTCGTCGACTGGGCAGTGAGTGTGCTTTGGCGTTTTATCAGGAGAACGATTATTCAGAAACTTTTCCTAAAAGAGTGTGAGCAAAAGTTTCTGTCAAATGCTAACAGCCGCTCCAATGCGTTTTACAAAAGGATTGGGGGGGGGGGGGGGGGGGGGCAGGGGCTGCCTTTTCTATTGTGAATGCTGCTAAGAGATAATAAGCAAAGAGTAAAGCACAGGCACTTAATTAGCTTATGGCAAGACCAAATAAGGACCCTTAAGCAGGAAATGCAGTCAACCTGCTAACGTCCTAATATTTTAAAATGTTAAAAGCCACTTGTGATTCGATCTTCCTTTTCCGCTGGTGCTGGATGCGTAAAGAAGGGGAAGTGCCATCCAAATCCCGGGGTTATAAACCGGATGTCTTCCTCTCCCATTTGCAAATTGTTTGTTTGGATCTCTTCTCCTATGCTTTATATTTGGCACACATTTGAAGAGCTGCTTCGCCAAAGCAGAGGATGGGGGCAGTAGCTAATTTCATAAGAAGGCCTGCCTGGCCAGTGGCATTATGGATGCAAATGACAGGGGTGCACCCAGGGGCAGCACATGTAGGGACCACGCTGAAAACCAAAACTGTAGCCCCACTGACCCACCTTTTGAGAGCAATACACCCCTCTTCCCCTTTACCCGCTTTTGTCCTGGTTCATGAGGACCTATTTCCATGCATGGCCGTATTGGAATCTGCATCCAGCATTTTGGTCAGTTGACCAATGTTTTTAAAACATTATTGCTCAGGAATGTCCTGAGGCTACTCCCTAAATGGCGAGCTCTCCATTACCTTCTGGGCAGCGTCCTTAAGTAGCCATTTTACCAGGTGAGCTCTGAGTAGGAAAAATTCGAAGTCTCTGTTGCAGGACATTCTCCCTGGCCGTGTTGTTAGATGCTGTCAAGTTGGTTCGGGCTCACAGCAACCCTGTGTACAGCTGAACAGAACACTGCCCTGCCCTGTGTCATCTGCACAATGGTCATTCTATTTGCGGACATTGTGGCAGCCGCTGTGGTGTCAATCCGTCTCCTCAGGGCCTTCCTCTAGTCTAGCAAGTATGAGGTCCTTTTCCAGGGTCTAGTATCTCCTGATAACATGTCCAAAAAGACTTGAGATGAAGTCTGTCATCCTGGCTTCCAAGGAGCATTCAGAATGTACTTCTTCCAAGACAGATCAGCTCATCTCTCTGGCTGGCAGTCCAGGGGACATTCCGTATTCTTGCCAACTCCATAATGTAGACGCATCAACCTCTCTCCAGTCTTACTTATTCACTGTCCCGCATCCAGGTGCAGACGAGGTGACAGAAAATTCTACAGCGTGGGTCCAGCATACGTTTGACCTCAAAGTCATATATTTGCTTGTTAACACTTTAAAGAGGTCTGGTGTCCATGTCACATTTTCTAACTATCTTAGGATGGTTTTGTGTTCGTCTGGGTAAACTAGGGAAACAAACCCACAGAAACTCATATATGTATAAGAGAGTTTTACGTAAAGGTTAAGTGTACACTAAGAAAGCATCCCAACCAGTGCTGTCCAAGCCCATAAGTCCAACATTGGCCCATATGTCCAACACCAATCTACAAAGTCCTCCTCAATCTCAAAAAACTCACCCAATGATGCCAACTGCAGGAGGAAAACTGAATCAGTGAGCGTGTAAGCATCTCAGCACTTGCAGCGGTCTCCACACAGTTGCTCCAGCGCCCAGGGCTGCATCAGGGTAGGTCCATGTGGCTTCTCCTCAGGGATGGCTTGCAGGATGTGATCCTTGTCAACTGAAGCAGGGAACTGGCGAAGGCAGTCACACAATGGTCTGACCATCGGAGAGCAAGAGACCTGAGAACTAGAAAGACAAGGCTCACCAAGCCACTTATCCCTCTGACTTTCAATTAACTCCACATGTGTTTATCAGCCAGGTTGGCACAATAAACCTTAACTATCTCAGTTTTCAATAGCACATGTTGGATCCAGTAGAGCCACCTCTCCTTGTTTGCCAACAATGAGAAACACAGATTTGAGAGCAATAATTTAAAGCAACAAGGGCTCTGGGCACATGAACCTTTGGTGGAACCTCCATTTAGCTGCAGCATTTACCCAGGACCTTACTCAGTTACATCTTTTTTCTATTAAGACACTAGAAAGTCCATTGCTATCCATACCCAACAATCAATCTCAATGTTTTGAAGAAACTATATAGAAAATTAACTTTTTAAAAATCCCTCAAACACTGCCATTGAATTGATACCAACTCACAGCGACCCTATAGGACAGAGCAGAACTGCCCCTGTGGGTTTCTGAGACTGTAACTCTTTGTGGGAGTAGAAAGCCATGTATTACTTCTGAGGACCAACTGGTGATTTCAAACTGCTGAGCTTGTGTTTAGCAGCCCAAACCGTAGCCCATTATGCCACACGCAAGGTCAGGAGTTTGAAACCACCTCTGTCAGAGAAACCCCCAGCTTTCGACTTCCATCAAGAATTACAGTCTCAGAAATCTACAGGGCCAGTTCTCCCCTGTGAGTGTCTGAGACTGTACCTCTCTCTAGGAGTAAATAGCCCAGTCATTCTCCCGCAGAGCGGCTGATGGTTTCGAACTTCTGACCTTGCAGTTAGCACCCAATTGTAACCACTCAGTCGCCAGTAGTAGTAAGTAATATAAAGCATTATAGGTGAAGCCTCCCTCTCCGTACAGCAATTTAACAAGATGATTAATCTACTCCCCATGTAGTTATTTCAAATTTTAGAAGCAATAGACAGACTATGAGAAGCACTAATTAAATTGAAGAAACCCTCTACTTTGGGGTATTAGGAGAAAGATGAGTATCAGTAACACAAAGTCTACATTATGGTCTGTTTCTAGAGAGATACAGTGGGCAGCCTTGAGAGGATTCATCGCAACTCAAACCAGCCTCTAAATGTCTTGGCAGAAAAGGGAAGTGGGGATTTGCTTTAACAAGCAGAGTGATTTGAAATTAGCACATCATATGATGTAACTAGATTTCTTTTTTTTAAAAAAGTCTAAGTATACTTGGCAAAATAAAAATCTCTTAAATGTTTTAGACCAACCCTTTCCATCTTTGGTCTATTATTTGCTCCATGACAGAAAATAAATAAATAATGGAGAAGCCCCTGTCCAAATTACCTGGAGATCTCACTGCAGACAAAATTAATGAGCTTTGCCTGACAAAAGCTGCAGCGCGAGTTTATTGAGCTCATGGTCTTCCCGGCGATGACAACACAATGTGTGAATACTAATGACTTAGGAAGGAGAAGGGGAGCTCACAATGAAAAGCAAAAGGTTTGTGGCTCATCTCCTGAAAAGCTCTTGAGCATCCCTTGGCACAGGCCAGAATACTTGCTGCAGGGCACCGTCCACCAGAGAAGAATGGCTATACTCTGGCCGATCACCTAGGAGACACACAGTTTCATGCCAGGTCGTTCAAGGGCGTGGTGGGCAAGAAATGCAAGCCCTGGTCCTGCCAGTTAAAAAGCAAGAGCAGGGATTGTCTGTCCGCCAGAAGAACCCAGACTGTAGCTGCTAAACTGGGAATTCCCCAGGAAATGTTTCAAAACACAGAAAAGTGTTTATTTAGGTTAAGACATAATTTAGTGTACTGATCCATTGTTTTATGGTAAATATTGAAATCTTAAAACTCAGATTTATGTAAGGGGAGCAACGACTCCAGGGGGTACACACGTCTTAGCAAAATCAACCATTGGAGGTCAGAAGAGTAGCTTTGTCCAAGAACAAAGTCCAGAAGGGAAGGAAAGAAGGAAGCTTGGAAACAGGAAATACTATAGGAAGTAGGATCCGTGGTGTTACAGTCCATGAGAGGCAACAATGAGTATCATCGTGAATTGTTGAATGGAAAACTGACCCTTGATCTGCTCTATAAACTTGCACTCAATCCGCAAGCAGATGTTGTTGGTTTTCATGATCAATTAAAAGAGGGAGGGGAACCAATTCAGATTTGTTGTACAGTTTTTATCTTCAAAGGCTTTCCATGAGAGGAAATGGCCATTCATGAAACGGACTTTTGTAAAATGTTAGCACAGTTCATGTCTAGTCCTGGGCAGCACTCACAGTTAGATGCTCGATGACTAACTAAAAGGTTGGTGGTTCGAAACCACTCAGAGGCACTTCCAAATAAAGACCTTCAAGAGATCACATCCTTGAACACCCAATGGAGTGCAATCCCATTCTGCCCACATGGGGTCACCATGAGCTAGCATCAACTTCACAACTGGTGTCTTCATTGTTGTTGTTGTTGTTTGGTTATTGTGGTTTAGTGCCAGGCAGGAGACGGAGAACAGGAAGGGATGAAAGATGCTCACTTCTTGGGTAGGACTCAAACCCTTGTTAAGGCTGACAGACTTCTGATGAAAACATTGTAAACCATGGTGGTTGCACTTTCCAGTTCTGATCTTAAAATGGAAACATGGAACTAAAACAATAATGACACGGTGTTTGCTTTGCTTTGTTTTATTCCTAGAGCCCTTCTACTGAGTTGCTAACTACAATAGCAGGTCTAACCGGCCTGGTGCTCTCTCTGGCTTTAATCTTGATCATCACCTCTTCAACCGAGTTCATCAGACAAGTCTCCTACGAGTTGTTCTGGTACACACACCATGCTTTCATCATCTTCTTCATCAGTCTGGCTATCCACGGGGCTGGGTAAGTCCATAATGTGCTGGGTAAGCCCATAATGTGCTGTGTATAAGGTTTCTACTTCTAGAACCTCAAAATCATCTTGTTGAAGACCTTTTTATGGAGTCGCAAGGCATGCCGTGACTGGAGGACACTTAGAATGGGTGAAAAACACTTTCACTATGACAAACAATTTTTTTATAGTAACACTGGAAGTCAGCTATACAGGCAATGAAGCATTATGCTTATTTTTCCCCGAGCTGATGTAGTGGGCGAGTCTTGACATGTTTGTCATATGCAGGGATTCTAATGAAAGCTGGGTGACAGCCTGTCTCTGCAGTCCAATGGATGTGGGATTCATCCAGTTCTATATTGCTGACACCGGATTTCACTGGAGCTTTCTCAGAACCATGAGTCAGGAAAACCAGCGAGCGGCGGGCAGTCTAGCCTGAGGTCTAGATTGCCTAGTCATCAAATGTTCATGGGTGAGACCTTCTTGGTCTGCGCGTCTCAGTTTACCCGCTTGGGAGGCTGGCAGCGGATGGCCTGTAGGAGTTTTGTGGTCTTGCTCTGTCAGTCAGTCTATGAAATGGTGCTTCAGCATTCAATGCCATTGTTCCATTCATCAGGAAGCGTGATGCCTGAAGTTCATCATTGAGTTTGCCATTGAGGCCACTTCTACCCATGGTGCCCTGTGTGTGACAAATCTGTGCTCCATGGTGTTTGAATGGCTGATTCTTTCAAAAGTCAGTCACCACCCCTTACATGTACTCAAACCTTCAACTTTCCAGTTAGCAGCTTAGAATTCTTACCATATGTCCCACCGGGAGATGCCACAAAGTAAGACCCCTCAAAGATAATAGTCTATTTAGATTGTATCAGAATGGCCCTGGCTCAACCAACAAGGTACTGTCTGTGAACCAATCTGCCTGGTGTTCATCATTTCATAAAGTGGAACCTGTGCTTTCCACGTGACAATTTTCAAAGCACAATCGTATGTAGGATCCATTCGACCCAAAGCACAGTTCTGTAGACTGGAGAAAAGCTCTGATCCCCATTTCATAAGGAGGAACCAGATGTTCAGAGAGTTACATGATTCACTCAAGGCCGCACAGTGAAGCAATGGCAGAGGCAGACCAAAGAGGCTGGTCTTAAGACAACCAGACCCATATTCGGAACAATCCCTTGAAGAACAGACCTTCAACTGTTGTGAATTAAACATTCCTCAACACCTGCAAGAAAGTGGCAGGAGAAATTTCAGATGTCTTGCTTGGCTTGCCAGCAGTTCTTTGCCAACAGGAGAGTCTCTACTGCCTACCTGATTTCCCCACCTTCCCACCACAGCTGCAGCTGCAGGGAGTCCTGGTACAGGAGGAGGGCTCTGCATATGATGGGACAAAAGAGAAAACCTGGAAGTAGAGAAGGCATGACCAGGTAACTGCATGCAAACACAGGGGGATTCCATGCAAGACCCTGTCAGCACTCCAGGATTGACAGCTCAGCAAGCTAACTGCTCTCTCTAGTCTGCTCCCCTTCCTTCAATGCTCCTTCCATCACGGCCCTCCCTTTCCGGAAGGGCGCTAGTCTTCTGCAGCCACTGCCTGCTCCTGAGTAGGAACTGCTCCAACACCCATCAACTTACTGGACACACAGGCATCGCCGAGGGAAGCATTGCCCTGTGAGTTCATTTACCCTGCAAGCTTGCCCAGTGCCATGCCAATTTTCTGTTACCTAGTCAGTAACAAGTCTAGGAGCCCTCTTCCCAAAACTGTCTCCTTTAGCGCCTCGCCCCCAAACTCCTACTTCAGAGAAGCACGGGAGCATCTCCACAGATTATGTTTCATTGGAGAGGGTACTTTTTATTATTTTGGTTTTGGTTTCAGCCCGAATAACATTTTATAAGATGAAAATGTTGAATCATTCCAGTCTAGTTGAAAGGCTTGCACGGGAGTAAGGGCCTCATTTAATCTTCTCAGCTTGAAGTAGTCTACAGTTTATAACATACGTCATTTCCAAATCCTATACAAATGACAAGTAGGATTGTTGGGATGTGTTAAAGCCCACTAATCTTCCTATTATGGGATGGAGCAGATGAAGACACACCGAGCTCTCTTAAATTAAAGCAAAGACACTGCATTTGTGGAGAACTAGAGGCTGCTGATAGATGCGACAGGGAATGTGGCCTGAGAAGGAAGGGGTTAACACTTAAAGATTCACTTCCTTTGGGTTCCTATTTATTATTCGCCTTCCTTTGTCAGGGCATCACTTGCTCATTGGAGATTTACAGATAGTTTGGCTCAACTAACTCAGAAGAGTGTTATCAAATTTGGATGACTTCCATAACATAGACTGGGAAGAAGCCCAAGATGTCAATTCTCCAGACTGTTCCCAAGGGCACCGCCGCTCCCTCCTCACATGGTCTGCAATGCCAAGGGGCACGTGCTACCCTCAGGATATCTGGGAGAGGAGTCTGTAAGATGCTACACTTTCCCAAACCAGGAGTACCGTCTTTCTCAAAATCAATTCAGGTATTTTGATTACGCCTAGGAATTGAGCAACATCAAACTTATACAGTCTCAAAACCAAGTAGAACTCACTGCCCTCGAGTTGGTCCTGACTCAGAGTGAACGTATAGGACAAACTAGAACTGCACCTGTGGATTTCCGAGACTGTAATTCTTTACAGGAGCAGAAAGCCCTGTCTTTCCCCCTCTTGAAGTGACTAGTGGCTTTTATCACCCAAGGAGTGGCTCACTACACTACCACCAGGGCCCCTTTACACAATCTCAGCAGACGCAAACCCATGCATCTCCTGCTAATAGATCAACCAAGGACCATGGTCCAAAGCATCTTGTCAGAGGTCAGTAGGCACTGTAGTTGTGGCAAAAAATAATTTGCAAGATTACAGAACTTTTAACCTAGTGCTCCATCCCTGAAGTCTGGCTTCCATTTTCTCTGTTCAATCTACCAATATAGTCTTGAAGACACACTTCATTTTGATCTTCTGTGACCCTGGCCAAACATAAAGTCTGCTGAGGGTCCACTGTTGCCCAGCGGTGGGCAGAAATGTCATTGCTCATGTCACTTTTACTGAAAACTTCTAAGGCCTGGGGGGGGTGGGGGGGGTCCAGGAGAAGGGGAAAAGTTAAATAAATCAGCAAAAGAATTCAAATAGTACAAAGTTAGCCAATTAGCCCAAATCAGCAATCAGGATTAGATGTCACCTAATTAAATTCTACAGTCTACAAAAGGATGTGTTCAAACAATTTCCCTTCATTATGAATTCTCTAATATAGACACTTTCAATTGAGCAGAGGATACCACGGAGGCCGCTTCTTTTCTACCATCTTCAAAGTTAGCCGGAGCTGCTCAAATGCCTCTTTTTAAAAGATACGGAGGGAAATGAATGGCAGCCCCATCCCAAGACTAAGTGTTGCTCCCGAGCCTGCTGCACAGAATTTTACATTTTTGTTTATCTTTTTTTCTCCCCTCTTTTATCACCAAGCCGGATTGTTCGAGGCCAAACTCCTGAGAGTCTGTTGCAGCACAATGCCACCTTCTGTAGAGACCACTATGCTGAATGGCAGGTAACGGCCCGGTGCCCGGTGCCTCAGTTTTCTGGCAAGGAGCCCTCGGTAAGAATGAGCCCGGGAGCTTTTAAGAACCACTGTCTCCAATGTGAAAATAACTAGAGCTTTTATTTGCTCGCGGGGGGTGGCGGGGGGGTGGGGTGGGGTGGCGGGGGGGCGCATCCCCTGTCATCACCAGACAGAGCCTACTCTTTACGAAGTGCGCTAATGGAGGAATCGAGTTATGGATCGCTGGGAAAGAGGCCGGCTGTCAAAAAGACTCTGCTCAGGTCCGACCTGGGTTCTTAGACTGGCATTTAAAGGTGGATGTCCGATAGGTGGGACGCGACACTACAAGAGTGGTCCCTTGGAAGAGTGGGAAGGCTGTTGAGCCCACCCCCCTCGACGGTTCCCATCTCAGCTCCCGGGCCCTCCGGGTACCTGCCTTCTGCATCCTGAGAACCCGGACCATCTCTTCTCACACTGAAAGCGAAGCAACCGCTGTGCTAGCTCTCTAGGGCTGCTGGGACAGAAAGACCACAAAGTGGCTTTGAAGAACAGACGTGTTTTTATTTATGTTGGTTTTTATTCTCATCGTTCAGGAGGCTGGAAGTCTGAATCCAAGGTGTTACTTCCATGGAAAGGTTTCTCTGTCATCCCTGGGGAAAGCACCTTAGCTCCTTTTTGCTTCTTCAGCTGAGTGATCTTCCAGTGGCAGGGCATCTCTCTTCCCCCATCTCAGCTAGCAGGCCTGGCTGCTGATTCAAGTGCTCTCTGGATATCCATCCCCAAAGAGAGGGTTTTAAGACGCACTCTACCCTCACACTGCCTCACTAACCTAACAAAAAGACCCATTTACAAATGGATTAGAAACAAACCAAAAACTCCCTGTCATTCAGTCAATTCTGACTCATAGCGACCCAATAGGACAGGGTAGAATAGCTCTTGTGGTTTCTGAGACTAAATCTGTACAGGCGAAAGCCTCATCTTTCTCTTTCAGTGGCTAGTGAGTTTGAACTGTTGACCTCGAGGTTAGCAGCCCGACTCGTAACCCACTGTACCACCAGGGCTCCCCAGATCTGTAACAAACGTAACCCAAAAAAACTGAACCCATGGTCCTCCAGTTGATTCCGACCCATAGCAACCCTACAAGAGAGAGTAGAGCTGCCGGAGAGTTTCCATGGCTATAAATCTACATGGAAGCCAAATGCCACGGCTCTTCTCCTGGGTTCAACCTGTGACATTTTGGGTGGCAGCCAGGTGCTTAACCGCTGTGCCACCATACACCATTGTGGTTGGGAGACACAATTCAACCCATCACCGTCATCAAACGAGAAGCCTGGCCTCCATAGAAAAGCAAACCTCCTCTCCTTCTACAACTTTCGTGAGGAAACATTCCAACCAGGCCCATGTGTGAGTTAAAAGACGGGTGTGGAATGTGTTTACCTTCTGTTCTAATTAAACTCTGAACACGGCAATGATGGCATTGCTAGCTAACAAGAGATTGGATTAATGAGATCAGATGGGATGTCCACCAGGTCTCAAAAGCACCATGTTTCCGGGTGTGCTGCCACCACCTTGGGTGCTTGCCTGGGGAAAGAGAAATAATAACCCCATGTGGTGGTACCAGAAATCACGGTGCCGTGCAAACCTGGGGACGGCTGAGGGGAGGCGTGAAGGGAAAGAGCTGGAGGCTGCAGCTGAAAACTGGAGAGAAGCAAAGGCCAAAAAAACGGTGTGACAGAAAACGGCTGGGCCGCAGAATTAGAAGACAATGGAATTTTCCCATGAACTTGTTACATCCCCTCGTAAATGTTGGAGGAGGGTTAGAAGAATGGAGGCATTAGCATAGGAAGAATATAGGTGATTAGCTTTTTTAAAAAACCTCTCAAATATATTAAATTAAGCACTGGGTGAATATTGCAAGGAAGAGTGTTTAAAATGGAGACATGGGATAGATGTGCCCATTAGACTGTGGTTCTTTTAATGGCCAGTATAGATTGTCTCTATCTTAAACTCAACTATCAGTAGCCACTACCCAGCCTGCATTTTAATGAAGATCATGAATGCCTCTCTAAAATTTTCAGCTACAGTGTCTCCATAAAAAAATCAATACTCTCCCACACCTCATGAATACAGACCAGGGCCTGCTCCCAGCAGAGGAGGCTGATATTCAGTTACCATTCAAAGGGGGGCACTTACCCACCTCTCTGTTAACTCATCCCTGCTGCACCTCCTGGCAACCCAAACTCATGTTGTCACTCTTGCCCGTTCTTCTTAATGGACCCTGATTGGAAGCGTGTGTGGGCTGTGCAGTTAGCGCTTGGCTGAGCGGTACAATAGTCTGTGTCACACAGACCCTGAGTCAGAAAGACACCCAAGGACACGGAAGCGTTTCACATACTGCTGCCCAATGCCCCCCAAACTTGGTTCTGTATGTCTGGGTTGGAAATGCATATTCTCAGAAGGGCCTCAGACCAACTGGAATGAACAGGTTTCAAGCCGTGTGTGTGTGTGTGTGTGTGTGTGTGTGTGTGTGTGTGTGTGTGTGTACCTGTTTATTTATATAAACTTCCAAGTTGGGTTGTGTTGTTGGCCCTGAAACTGACAAGTTCAATGTTTGTTTAATTTCCCAAGCCCTTTGTTGTCTCAGTCGTGTTGTTTTGCAAGCCTTTAGATTTGACTGCGTTGGGAGGCTTTTATGACCCTATCCTATGTAACATAAACATCAATCTGCTTTCTTATTTCTTTGCAAATCCAATTATTTCTAATTACATAAAGGCATCATTGACCAAGTAAGCTTAAAAAACGAGTACGGAAGAGCCTAATCTCTTCAATAAGCTTGTCAAACGCAAGAAATGGGATGTTACAACGTTTAATGCGAGGAGATCACTTTGTTGTTGACAACTGGCCTGAGCAAAAGGACAGTGTGCATATGATGGACAGACTTGGTTCAAATGGAAACTATTCGCATCCCATCTTCATTTCCCCTTCCCTCCCTCTCTGCAGGCTTGGAAATGGGTCTTGGGACCGGTGGTCTTGTACGTGTGTGAAAGAATCATTCGGTACTGGCGATTTCAACAAGAAGTTGTCATTACCAAGGTATCCACGTCACTTTATGTCTGAATAAAAGCCTTGAGTACAGATGAAATTTTTTTATTAGCCCAACTTTTTAATTTGCCAATTTTACTGCAGAGCCGTATGTAATTGAGAGGCTCATCTTCTGTTCTAATAATTGCTTGTATCCCGAGCATCTTTTTAGTGTGACTAATTTTGCTGAAGACAGGGATCAGGGCTCCAGGCAGATACTCAGAATTCTGATGAAGGTTTGTGGTTGACACACTGGTATTTTCTGTATGTCTCTTACCTCAGTTTCTCTCTAGGGGGGCAGGGACGGGAAAGAGAGAGAATATGCATGCCTTACCCAGGCCATAGTAACTGGAGGTATAACCACTTCCTTCACCACAAAAAGAAGGCTATTATCCAAATACAGGAAGTACGTGCACACATTATCAAGCACACATTGTACCAGGACTGCTGAGTCCGCAATAGGAAGAGTGCCAACACAAGGATCAGAGGGGTGAGGGAGTTGGAAGTTCCAGAGGGGTTGGGAGTTCCAACGTGGACGGGGAGGGTGAACACCTTGCGATCTAGCCACACAGCTCTCTGATTCTCGCCTACTGCTGGAGAGAGCTCTGAAAAGAGAAACCAAAAGTATCTGTCTGTCTGGAAGACACAACAAGTACCAACTACTTACCCTCTGATGCTTTCAAGGTCTCCGAAGAAATGTTCTGCGAACCAGACCTACGCCGTTTTGCTAAGAGGGTTTTGTCAGAAAACTCTGCCTAACTGTTTTCACGGAGGGCAGATGTAGAGAAATGGCTCCAGAGTGGGTCTTCGAGCCGCTCTTGTGCTGCTGTTTTCAAGTTAAGCACCAAAGGGTGTCAGGCTCGATCCAAAGCTAGCCTGTGACACTTCTAGAAGGCCACTAAAGTAATTACCAGGGAGGCAATTGAATAGCAGAATCAGAAAAGAATACATATATCAGGAGGGAGAGGGGAAACTTAGAACCAGGGATTAAAGGGCTGTGAAATGTTCTTAGGAATGGGGCAAGTACTGTCACAGTATCCAGGTTCAATTCGGTTTTGTTCCCTAGACCCCTTCCACAAAAGCAGACATGGAGTTGCCTGAAGATATTTTTCAGAAAATAAGATGGAATGTAGGTAGGGGAATTGATTCTTTCCCTCTGATAAACACCAAGTTAGAAGGCACTTTTAAAAAGTTGTAAGAGCTTTGAGACAAATCTTTTCAAGATTGAAAACTCAAATGTGTCAGCAGGCTATGGAGCAAGACTTAATGAGTCCTCTCTTAACTTAAGCAAAACAAAAGAAACAAAATATTCCAGAATAAGTTTGAAGACAGTTTTCCACTGAACATGAAGAAGAAGAAGCGTTCATTAATAAATAAAAGATGGGGATTATTGAAAACAGTACCGAGCTGTACCTAGATTTTAATAACATGGAGATGGTGTAATGATGGTTTTAATAACTTAAGATCTGAGTGGCCAAATATGCTAGCTTTGGTGCTCTTAGATCTAGGTAGCTGTGCTATGGGAAGATTGGCCATTGGGGATGTAGCAAGGGCCATTGGATTGACTAGAGAAACAAATCCAGTGACACCCCGGATGCATAAGAAGGAGCTTTATACAAAACAGTTATTATACATCCAGGAAGCAGCCCAGTTCAAATTCAAGTCCATAAGTCTGAGCCTAACCCATAAGACCCTCTTCAGACTCATACCGCCACAAGCAATGATGCAGAATGCGGAAGATCACAGGCCGGTGGGTGTAGAGTTTTGTGGATCCAAGGTCAGCGGAAACAGAGCAGGGCTCTGGCAGCTCTCAGGGTCAGTAGCAGAGAGGCGCAGAGGGAGAGAAAGGAAAGGGACCCTTCTCTCTCCTAGAGCCTTTCTTATTAGAGGGCCACATCGCCAAGAAAGCACTATCAGGCTGTGACCTGGTAGACAGGTCTGACTCCACCCCTGGCCAGGAGTGTCTGGTTGATATAAAATTTCCAACTACCACCACACTTTCCTGCCCACATTGCAGACAGCACGGAAGGAGGACTGTATTCTTGCTAGACTGGAAAACAAGACACCCCAAAGATGGCAGATGTCATTAGAAGCTAGTAACAAATATATCTGTAGACGGTTGTTGATGTGAGATGCTGTCGAGCTAGCGCAGACTGGTAACGACCCTCGATATAACAGAAGGAGCCCTGCCCAGTCCTGCCGCATCTTCACAGTCTGTTATGTATGATCCCGTTGACTGTTAATTAGATCTCAAAAAGGAAGAAGAGAGAAAGACGGAAAATGAAGTTAACTCTTGTGCTCCTTCCTGTGTTTTCCTTTGCCTCGATCATTTTGTTGTAACCTCCCCTTCATGAGGCCTGGCCTCTCCCTTTACCCACGTTAATGCCTATCTACCTGCTAGTTAGTGATTTACCTGCCCTCCCCAGCCCCTCTTTAAAACTCAAACTCCCTGCCATCAACTCCATTTTAACTCACAACGACCCAATCAGACAGGGAACAACTTCCCCTGTGGTTTTCTAAGACTGAAACTCCTTTGGGGAGTAGAAAGCCTCCTCTTTCTCCTGTGGAGTAGCTGGTGGGTCCCAAGTGTAGCCCAACAGATTGCCTACTGCACCGCCTCCTTCCCCCTCCCTTGGTAACCTTCACGCCCTGAGTTTTTCCCTGTGTAAATCTGGCTTCACTTTTTCCAACAGAGGGCTCATACTGTGATGCGCTACTTTCACAAACCTTAGAATGAACCCTTTTGAAGCTGGTTTCAAACTTTGGACCGGATGAAGGCCATTTGGCGCTATCCTCCCTTAACCTGAAGAAACACCAATTGTGTCTTTTGCTCTAATCTAGGTGGTAAGCCATCCCTCTGGAGTCCTGGAGCTTCACATGAAAAAGCAGAATTTCAAAATGGCGCCAGGGCAGTACATCTTCTTGCAGTGCCCATCCATATCTGCCCTCGAGTGGCACCCCTTCACGCTCACTTCCGCCCCTGAGGAGGACTTCTTCAGTGTGCACGTGCGGGCAGCAGGAGACTGGACTAAGGCTTTATTTGAGGTGTATGGAGCAGATGCAGATGGACAGGCCCGAAAGGAGCCCTGGGGCCTGCCAAGGTAGGAGCACATTATGTTAGGATATAAATTCTATTGCTGTAGGTAGCCATAGCCGGCCCCTCGCTCATAGCCACCCACCTCCTGGTTCCTTGCCATGCCACGGTCAGGTATAGATGGAGTCATTGTGGTCTCCAGGCGTTCCTTGGCTGATTTTTTGGAAGTAGATTACCAGGCCTTTCTCCCCAGTGCATCTGAATCTGGAAGCCCCACTAACACCTGTCCAGCATTCTAGCCACATGCAAGGCCCCACGGACAGCTGGGTGAGTGCATTGACCAGGAATAGAACCTGAGCTTCTCAGGAAGACACTGTGAATTCTACCCTCTCTGGAATGCTTTTGAAAAGTGGGATACATTAGCACATCAGTGACATGGAAAGAAGCCACTGTATGAGTTAGTTAGTTTATTGTGCCAACCTGGCCGATAAACACATGTGGGGTTAATTGAAGGGCAGAGAGATAAATGGCTCGGTGAGCCTCGCCTTTCTCGAGTTCTCCGCTCTCTTGCTTTGTGATGGTTGGACCAAGGTGCAGCTGCTTTAGCAGTTCCCTGCTTCAGCTGGCAAGGCTCACTTCCTGCAAGACATCCCCAAAGAGAAGCCACATGGGCCTACCCCAATACAGCCCTGGGTGCTGGAGCAGCCATGTGGAGACCCCTGCCAGCGCTAAGATGCTTACACATTCACTGATTTGGCTTTCCTCCTGCAGTCGGCATCATAGTATGTGTTTTGTGAGATGGAGGAGGACTTTATGGATTGATGTCGGACATATGGGTTAATGTTGGACTTGTGGGTTTGGGCAGCCCTGGGTTGGGATGTTTTCTTGATGTGCACTTAACCTTTATATAAAACTCTCTCTTAAACGTGAGTTTCTGTGGATTTGTTTCTCTAAAGTACCCAGACTAACACACTGTATAAAAAGGGAAGAGGTTGGTCTAAATTATTTTCTTCCTACTGTCACTTCCAACGGGCAAACTCAAGTCAAAGTACCCACCAGCCTGTTTATTGTGCATTTCTGTGGATGACAAGCCCCAAGTTTTCTTGCGATTTAATTGATAGTTTTTTAAATGTGTCAAGTAAATAGCAAAATACTGCTAATTATAAAAGCAATTAGCAATGGGACATTTTAATCCATGGACAATTTAATTTTTTCCCTTCTCAATTCCCTTTAACTGATTATTTATAAAATAATCAAAGTGAGCTGAGGAACTAGCTGGTCCCAGTTAATGACCTTTTATTTTTATGCTTCCATTTCCATACATCAATATGTAATACAGTCTTAGTAATAAAGATTCACTCGAAGAGAGTTCATTTGAATTATTAGGCAGTCTGGCATATAGAATATTTTTAAACAAACCCAATTGAACTTTCATGAACACATAGTCAACCCAACTGGGCCAGCCTCGCCTGGCTTCCACACACACCCCTTGGGGAATGATTGTGAATAACTTAGAAACCTTTTAATTAGCATATCTTTGTTCATATGTAAATGTGTGCTTTTGGACTAGCTGAGGTTATTGAATACATTCTGTTGACTGAAATATATTAAATGCTCCCTTCATAATTTATTTTTTAAATCTTTTTGAACAAAAACCCCATGCCAGAGAATGCACGAGATTGAGAGATAGTAATGAGCAGAGGTAGACATGACTGTCCTATAGTTTAGTGATAAGGACAGATAGAAATAAACTCATGCACAAAGAAAAGAATCCTAAAATTACATCTGTTATAAAGACTATGGAGATACAAGATGCTACACATCATAACTTAAGGTGGCCAGAAAGATGTCCCCGGGGAAAGAGTGATTGGAAGAAGACCTAATGGGAGGGTAACTGTTAACCAAGAAGGAGAGGAAGTCCAAGTATCCCAGTGTATGCCATTGAAAGGGTCATCATGTGCAAAGGCTCTGTGGCCAACAGGAGTGGGTGCCATGTTGTGTGAAATTAAAGGAAAGCCAATGCTGGGACTCTGGTGATGAGAAGTGGGTAAGAACCCAGCCGTCCATCCATGCAGAAGCCCTGTAAGGAAAATCTCACTTATTCCACAAAGACATTTTATCCCTAGAAAGAAAACTATGCTACACAAAGGCAAAACCCTCACCTAATTATCACAGATTTTGTGTTGGCCTAATTTAAATTAATGAGTCTTAGAAATTCCATATGCCTGACAAATTATTTCAAAATTATATGTACTCCAGGTGAATGGTTTCCATTAGACTAAGTTTATGTAAATACACTAAGGAGATGTCCTAGTGGCATAGTGGGCCACGCACTGAGCTGCCAACCACAAGGTCAATGAATCAAACCTGCAAGCTGCTGATCAGAAGAAAGATGAGACTGTCTACCTCCATCAATATGTGAAGTTTGGGAAACCCAAAAGGCAGGTCTACTTTGTCCTGTAGGGTCACTCTGAGTCAGAAGCAACTTGATAGCAGTGAATGGTTGCAGGGGTCCTCAAACTATTTAAACAGGGGGCCAGTTCACTGACCCTCAGACCGTTGGAGGGCCGGACTATAGTTTAAAAAAAAAAACAAACTATGAACAAATTCCTTTGCACACTGCACATATCTTATTTTGAAGTAAAAAAACAAACGGGGCAAAAACACCCGGTGGGCCGGATAAATGCCCTCGGCGGGCCGCATGTGGCCCGCGGGCCGTAGTTTGAGGACCCATGGTAAGGAGTGGGGTGGAATAAATGAATGCAGTGAAGAAGGAGGTTAGAAAAAGGATAGATAACCCTTCTGAACCCCTTTGATGCTTCTGCTTGTCCCTCTGGTGGAAGCTAGAAGAACCGCTCTCTTGCTCCAGTTTTCATGATGCTTGAGGAAAGCCTGGGTGGTGTAAGCGATTCGCTCACTGGATCGCTCCCCAAAAGGTCCTAGATTTGAGTCCACCCAGAAGTACCTTGGGGGGGAAAGCCTGGTGATCTACTTCTAGAAAATCAGCCGTGGACAACTCAACAGGACACAATTCTCCTTTGACTTCCATGGTGGGTTGTCAGGAACTGGTTGTATAGACATGAAGCTTGGAGACAAAAGTAGTGTCTACGAGCTGTCAGAAACGCATGTCACGTGGCAGAGGCATGAACTGTAACAGAGGGGTTAGGATTTTCCCTTCTATGAATGAAGCTTGCCCTCACACTAAGCTCCGGCTCTCCAAAAAGAACGCTTTTGAGATAGTCCACTTCTTCACACACCTTCGTGGCACATGTAGTGTGCAAATCATGGCCTGAGGTGGGTTTTGTTCTCAACGCGGTTCTTAACCAGGCTCAACGTTGTGATTTTAGGCTGGCGGTGGACGGGCCATTCGGAGCTGCCCTCACGGATGTGTTCCACTACCAGGTGAGCGTGTGCGTGGCCGCAGGAATAGGAGTCACGCCCTTCGCTGCTCTTCTGAAATCTATATGGTACCGGTGTTGTGAGCCACAGACCAAGCTGAAGCTGAGCAAGGTATGGAAGAATCATCAGTTCATCCTCCAGGCGGGGATGGATGAAAAGGTTCAATATCCTTATAGCTATCATTTGCCGGTTCTTGGGGAGGATTTTAATTAACTATGAAGGATAAACTGAAGGATCCTTAACTATACTTATGTTCTTAAAAATCTCTGTTCAGTATTACATTTATGAGAAGGGTTATGTCTAATCTTGTTAAAGATGACAAGACATAAATTTTATTGCTTCATTGCCATTATAGGACATGTAATTGCTCATCTCAGTAAAATATGGACAGGCGGCCCCTGGTTGTGTGACTGGGCTGCAGTTAGTGCTGTTAGTGGGCAGCACTTGTCTGGGTCGCTTTACCTGAAGGAAAAGGCCGCAAGCGTACAACTCCATTGTGTCCTTTCATGTCTTAACAAGAAACCAAAATGTCCCCATTTCTGTCTACTGGTCCTCTTGTGTTGGTTTGGCCTTCACCCCCCAGTTCTGAGTCTCCCTTTGATGGGTTCTCCAGTCTTTTCTGACTTGATGGCTCAATAATATCCTTCCTTTCACTGACGCTGTTCTATCTATGCCCTGGTGTCATAGTGATTAGGCATTGGGCTGCAATCCAAATGGTGGGCGGTTTGAAACCACTAGGTGCTTGTTGGCAGAAAGATGGACCTTTCTACTCTTGTAAAGAGTTATAGTTTGAGAAACCCACAGGGGAAGTTCCACCCTATCCTATTGGGTCACTATGGACTCACTATGAGTCCACATTGACTCAATTCCCGTGAGTTTGGGTTTTGTTTGCTTGTTTGGTCCTATCTAGAAATTCCATCCCAACCCTGCGAGACTTTTGTGGGGAGCAGCAGAAGACATTAACAGTAACATCCCTGAAGGGTTATCAGAGGGGACTCAGGGAAGCAGGGAGCTGGCACTGCCTCTTCCCTCCATTGATACTTTGGCTACATTTCCTCTTCTGTCAAAGGAAGATGCTTGATTGCACCAGCAGGTCCAGTGGATGTCCTTGGGAACACTGGCCATGGGCTCTAACCCACTAAAGATGACACAGAAGTCAAGTGGGCTTAAGAGATGGGTCCCAGTTGACCAAACAGTCTTAGGTGAGAAGATGCCCACTCCCTGAGTTCTGCAGAAAGAACCTCACTTGGCCTTGTTCCACCAGCCATTTCCAAGTTCACTGGATCAGGGAACCTTTCTCACATAGTGTGACTGGAGGAAGCGTGTTCTAGGAAACAGCCGGGGCAGTGCTAGACTGTATGACGTCTAAGGTCAGTCCTTTACCAAGAGAATTATCCATCAGTGCATGTGTTTCTGAGCGGCGAGTCCTTCACATGCCTTTCCTCGTCTGATTTATATCATCTACAAAACAACCAGGAGCCCTGATGGTGCTGTGAGCTAATCATTGGACTAACTGCCTGGTTGGCGGTTCAAACCTACCAGCTGCTCCATGGGAGAAAGATGAGGCTGTCTACTCCCCTAAAGACTTATGAGAGTGTATCCCCCCCCCCAAAAAAAAATGGTTATTTTTTCCAAAGCTATGTATTTAAGTTTTTTACAATACAATCTTATCACCTTCAAAGTACTCTCCGTTACACTTAATACATTTGTCAAATCTGCAATTCCCTTCTTGGAAACATTTTTCAAAGTCATCTGTTTGGATGGCTGACAGTACCTCCCTCATGTTTTTCTTCACCTCTTCTACTTCATCAACTCGCTGTCCTTTCATGTTCCCTCTGCATTCTTGGAAACAAAAAGAAGTCACACGGAGCCAGGTCAGGTAAGTTAGGTGCATGGGGCAAGAGCAGCATGCTGGTTTTTGCCCGACTGGCACACTGAGATGGCTGCATGAGCAGGGGCATTACCGTGGTAGCAAAACCAGTCCCCTTTCTGACACAAATCAGGCCTTTTTTTTTTTTTTTTTGGCACACACTGTTACACAATCTTTTCAGAACCTCTTAATAGAAAGTTTAATTAACAGTCTGACCTAGTGGAACGAACTCCAAATGCACTATGGGTCGACATTTTCATTATTTGGGAAGCTGACAGACATCCAGAAAGATGTTTGTCATCAACTGACATTTCACCTTTTTTGAAATGAGAAAACCTCTCGTACATTTGAGTTTCCCCCTTAGCTCTGTCCTTGTAAGCTGTGTTCAACATCACAACAATTTCTGGGGCATTTTTCCCAAGCAGGAAACAAAATTTCACAGCCACACACTGCTCTTTTAAATTGGCCATCACAAAAAAATGAAGTTCAAGTGAAACCACTTTTGCAAAAAAATCATTGTGACCAGAGAGTACCTTCCCAGGAAATGCCACTGGGTGCACTAAGTCAGAGCAAGTTGTTTAATGCTCACCAAGAGGGAAAATGCATTCTATGAAAGTTCTGCTCCACCCAGCTCAATTCCAGTTTGGGGGGGTACCCCTTCATAGTCTCTGAAACCCTAGTAAGCAATTCTACTCTTGAGGATTGCTATGAGTCAGGATTTACTTAATGTAAATTGATGTGGGGAGGAGGGGCGTCTTTCCTATACAACAACCAGGTGCCATGGTGGTGCAGTGGTTAAGGTACTTGGCTATTAACCCAGATGTTGATGTTTTAAACTTTCAAGCTGCTCCATCAGGAAAGTTATGGCAGTTCCAACCCTGGAAACTCCATGAGGCAGTTTTACATCATCCAATGGAATCACTATGTCAAACTTGACTAGATGGCCATTGGGACAGGCTTGGGGAGGGGATATGCAACTTTTTTAGGTGGGTAACCGAAGATCTATTTTCCTGATAAGAAACCTGAGGCTTGAATAGACTGACATGCATTTTCTGAAAACATGTGGGTCATAAAAGGCAAAATCAGGATTCAAACTCAGAGCCATTTGGTGAGGGCACATGATGTGGACACATGCTAGACATGACTCCCACCACCCTTCTGCAACCCTGGTGCAACACCATGGGGACATGCTAGGATACCTGGCCCAGGCATCCCTAGCCAAGTATGGCCCTAGTGTTTCTATCCACACCTCAGCCTGGGGTGCCTCCTCTCCACAATGGAGAAATAAGAGCCCATATCCAATAGGGAGTTTCACTACCAAGCAAGATGAATATTTAATGTGTAGCTATTATTCTGTACATTATACAAAATTGTAACAGAATTCCATGGTAATTCCATTATCTGCCAAAAGGGAGCAATAGCCTGCTGCTGCTATTCCTGAAGCCCTGGGAGATGCACACAGTCCATGTGCTTGGCCGGTCACTGTGAGGCTGGAGGTTCAAGCCCACTCAGAGACTTCTCAGAAGGAAGATGGGATAAGTAATTCCCAAAGGTCAGACTTTGAATCCCTGTGGAGCACAGTGCTCCGCCGACCCACGGAGAGTCACCCTCGGGTGGAATCGACTTGAAAGTAACCGGTTTGTTGTTGCATTGAGCTGCTGCTTGACCCATTGCCTTGGAGCCGAATCTGACTGTGTGTGACCCATGGGACATGGGAGGACTGGCCCAGAGGGCGCTCAGGGCTGTGACTCTGCATGGAGGCAACCACAGCAGCCTTCTCCTGGGGAGCAGCTTGGGGGTTTCCACAGCCAACTTCTCAGTTAGCAGTGGAGAGCTTAACCACTGAGCCACCAGGGCAACCACTAATAAAATAATAACCTCAATGTATTAGGTACTGACTAACTAGCAGGCGGGGAGGTAGGCATTTTATATACTACTGCTATGATTATGACTAGGACTATTATTTATTGTTCTATTATTATGCAAAGTACCACGTACGACCAAATGAGCCCACAAATTGGTCTTGGGGAAAAATACAGCCAGAGTGCTCCTGAGAGGCAAGATGGCAAGACTGTGTGATGTCCTTAGGACATGCTGTGCGGGATAACGTAGAGGGGCAGCGTAAAAGAGGAAGGATCTCGAGGATTGACACGGTGGCCGCAACAACGGGCGCAAGCGTAGGAACAATTGTGAGGATGGTACAGGACCGTGCAGGGTTTCCTTCTGTTGTGCATAGGGTCACTGTGGGTTGGGACCTTCTCAAGCATACCTAACCACAAAAACAGCATTGTTGTTATTATGATGATGATGATGATAAGCTATTTTAATTCCCATTTTACAGAGGAGAAAACCAAAGCTAGATCACACACCGAGTACACAGAACTAATAAAGAATGATACCCACTGCCATTGATTTGATCCTTACTTATAGTCCCGTTTCGGGTTTCCGAGGCTGTACGGGAGCAGACAGCCTCATCTGACTCCCACAGAGAGACTAGAAGGTTTGAACTTCTGACCTCCCAGTTAGCAATCCAGGGCTTATCCTACAGTATCCTAGGGCTCCTTAATAAAGAATGAGCCAAACCCCAAACCAAGCCCACTGCCATTGAGTTGATTCCAACATCTGGAGAACCTATTGGACAGAGGAGAACTGCTCCTTCGGGTTTTGGGTTTTGGAGACTAAATCTGTTAACAGAGCAGACAGCTTCCTCCTCAGACAGCCCAGGGGGTTGATGGCGGGTTTGGGTTTCTGACTTTACAGGTAGCAGTCCGACACATAAGCTACAGTGGCCCCAGGGCTCCTGACTACATACACAGAGGGACACTTCCTAAAAGAACAACAAAAACACAATAGAAAGGTTGCCTTCTTTGTCACTGTTCCATCGTCCCTGGGGGAGCCCCGTGTGTGGAAAATCCGGGCTGTTTCCATAGTGGGGTTCAGCAGTTAGGCAGTGATCTCAGCTCCAAATAACAGAGACCACGGAATAGGAAAGCAAAGATGCACAACAACAACACACACAATATGACTTCAAATGGACACAAGCAGAGGGTGCTACATAGGCAGTATTTGGCTGAAATGAATGTAAAAGGCGGAAGGGCAAAGGGGGAGGGGCTTATGAGAGACGGGCTTGGAAGCTGAGAATCCCCCCCTCATGTGGAGGGTCCTAATCCCATAGGACAAGGGAAGCCAGCAGCACTGGGACATAGCCAGTGTCCTTTCCACTCAGTCAGGCGGGGGCGTG